GTTGTTCTTTCACTGTGAAAAGCTTTTCTTCGTATGCAAGAAAATTTTCAGAATATCAACGTTCTTACGGGCAAACTTGACAAGAGGACCAGAATGTTCAAAAACTATTGCATTTGGATATGGACATACTTAGTAAAAGGTCCTATGTAATCTGGGGAGAATCTAATGTGCCTGGTCTACCCGCTACTACTATGCCGCCTGGATTCTTTACCACTCTGGCACCGTACGCTGCATAAATATTTGAGTAGTGGTCGACAGCAGCACCCCCAGGCATTAAATAGATTTGATGCTATTACGGTATATGGAACAGCAACATTAAGGAGTTGACCGTTTGGAGTTGCCTGGTGAACAGCATATACTTTCCCATTTAAAGTGTCTACAACTACATTTCTAAGAATATTCAAACCCTGACCAATGATTGTTCCGGCCGAGTTCCATGTTCCAGCGCAGTGGCGTAACCATAATTTTTAGACTGTTGGATCATTTTCCATAGAGTCGAAAAAGTCGTTGGATCGAACGCTTCCTGCATGGGCAGGAAATTTTTTCAACTGTTGTTAGTTGATACTGTCATTTTCCGTCTTTCTTGTCACCGTATCTCAAGAGTGTGCGTATATTGTCACTAATCCTTTTGTACCGATAAATCTTTTTATTCAATCACCTAAATATTTTTTATAAAGCCTAGTAGTGTTCTATGCGTAAGAAATGAAACATGCACCATCATAAATAAAGCAAAAAAGAGAGAGAAAGAGTTGAGTTTTGTGATGTTCTCATCTGCTAAAGCCCAAAGCCTAAACGTCGTGAATTTTTTTGCATATAGCAATTTAATATTTCTTGTGGATCCATATTAATGTCTTTTCTAATACAAGCAGCAAGTCCATTTAGTCGCACTTCTTTCATTGTCGATCTTGCATATGATTTTAAACGAGCTAAGTGACTAAAACTTCGTTAAGCTGTCTGAGTTGACACCGGTAAAGTTGCTAAAAATATTAATAGTGATTGAACGTTTAGAAATGTGGCATTATCTGCTTGTTTGATTAAATCATTTAACCATTTTTTCATCATCATCGTGAGCTCATCGTGACTTTGCTTCATATTTGAGAAAAAACGAAGAATAAATAGATTTTATTCGATGTACATAATATTTACTTTTGACGTAAAAAAAGGTAATAAAAGTATCCTTGATAACACTTGTCGCCGTCGTTAAAATTGTGTTTACATTTATGATAAGGATAAGCAGAAAGAATTGTTTTCACGCCCACAGATACTAAGCAAAAAAAAGTAAATACCATGTACATCAAATAAAACCCATGTTTCTTCGTTTTCTCTGAAATACGAAGCAAAGTCACGATGATATAACTGAAAAAAACGTTTATAACTATAAAAAAGAGGACGGACAGTGCTGTTAATTCATCTTTTTGATTATTAAGCAATTGCACATAGAGAAAAAGGTCAAGACTTTGCCATTGATGTAGGGAGATAACAGGAAATAGTTATTTAAAATGATTTCTCATATTAAATGAGAAACACGTGTTTTTCTAATTGAAAAGAATTTTTCAGTATGCTTACATTAAACCTTTTATTGTAGATTATTTAATTAATCTATTTTGTTTTAGTCAAAACTAAAAGAAAAACAAGAAGGTATGAACATTTTTTGTTTTTTAACTCAATGTTCAATTTTTCTTTCGCCTTATTGTAGAGTACAACAACTGTAAGCTCTCGAGCTTTGGGCACACAATCCGCAAACGGGGCAACAGATCCGCAAATTGGGCAACAGATCCGCTAAGTCGAAGATGAATGATAATTTACCGTGTAAGACTCTGTGAATAGAGAACTCAAATAAGTTGTTTGAAAACATGTGAAGTTAAATTCTTAAAACAAAGAAGAATAAAAATTGAAGTATTTAACCTTTAAGTAGTCTATTTGAGGCAGACATTTGATTTCAAGAAACTTAGAGAAGGATATTCCATTTTTAGACTTCATTTATTTTTAAGTAATAACTTCTTCATTTTCAATTTTATTCTTCACATTTCGGGGAATAACAGAAAGATTTCAAACTTATCACTTTTCTTTTCATTCAGTTTTTATACATAAAAACATAATTAGAATACCTCCAGTCAACAACAGTTTGACAAAAACTTGTGTTCATTCGTCGTAAAACTAAGGTGTTACTATAATTCACACCGTTTTACTACCCTACGATATGAATTTTCGTTAGTCCACCTTTTAGAAGCTAACCTTGAACACATCACCTTCGAACATTGCTTTCTACTAGCATTTCCACATTGCGAGCTGACACATTTACCTATACATTACCTGTAGATGCCATGGATCATATTTGCTTTTGACTGGACTACATATTACTTTTCAGCAAATAGTAAGAAATAAAAACTTGTTTATTTTCTTCTCGTACATTTTTGATTAGAGTAAATTGAGAAGAGAGTATGGAATGTATTTGGCTGTTGAAGCGTTTTATCAACAGAGATCGGATCTGATCTTTTATTAGCGGATTATATAATTGTTTGACCTGAATAATCGGTCTAGCCGTTGTCGAGATACTTAAACCGTGTAATACGCCTGTTTTAAAACGTTTAATATCGTTTAGGAACAAGCAGGATTTAGCAGGTAGGCAGGCAAGTTCTAAAACTGACCTAGTTCATGTGGAGACATCTTTGCCTGGAAACTGGTTTCTAATGATCCATATACGTCTGCGCATATTTTTATTCAAAGAAAGTGATAAAAGGACATTTGATATGATTTTTATCTTTGATGGAGAAAATAATTTATTTATGTGTTATGATTTGTTAGCATATCAACATTCACATGATAATAAAAATCATTCACAAGTTGATGAAACACAAAATGAACACAAAAAAAATGTTCGTGTACAACCACCAGATAAGAATAATGGGAAATGGAATCAATTTGCATTTTTAAAAGGTTAGTTTGTTATGAACAATAACTTTATAAGAGAGACAGATGAGCTAACGTATATCAGGCAATTGGACAATCAACATCATGAGCTGAACGTACTGGATTCAAGTCTTCGTCAATTTTTATAGCTAAGACTACGTACCAAAATTTTGAGATTTCATTTGGTCTTAAATTCCGTAGTGCTCAAGCACTTTCGAAGCTCTGATGGTGCTGTACTCTGTTATGTCACACTAATGCTCTCAAAGTTTCCTACTATAGATTATTTTTTCATCATGACTCTTCTAGTATAAAATACTGTGGATTGTCAGACAGTGTAACGTCCAGTATAAAGATTATAGAGGTGTCAGTCTCTAATTATCTGGATCTGTACAACATAAACAAAGAAATTTTGAGTTAATCTTTGCTTTACATGTAACAGCGTTCTAGTAAAAGGTACTAAAAACTACCCATAGTAAAGAGAAAAAGAATCAAAAACCCATGCAGTAAGCTACAATTTGTCATTCTCTCTTTTTCTCGTTGGGGAGCTCTTTGACAAAAATCATGGAGCTGTTTGGCAACGTTAGAGAAACAAAGACATTTTCGAAACGGATATTCAAAAACTCGACAAGAACGCGAATTTGTTCGTATGCATATAGTTAATCATGAACAATGCAGTCTCGCGACAAATTGACCACTATTAGCTTACGAGGAAACCACCTCAAGTCACAAATAGCTTTTACGATGAAACTGAGGGAATATAGCTAACTGATGGTGCCGATTCCGATGTAATGAACCTAGCTGCCCTTAGTCCCACTGAGACCGAATTTTCAGAAAAACAGTTCCAGAGCCAGAAATTTCTTTTCTCAAAATCATTTCTGATCTGTCCATGTTATGGAGCAGTTTTTCTTAGTTTCAGCGTAAAAGCTATTTGCAACTTGCAGCGGTTCCCTCGTAAGCCAGTAGTGATCAATTTGTGGTGAGATCGCATAATTCATGATTAACTTTACGGAGACCGAGCAAATTTTTCGCACTAGTGTCAAGCTCTTTAACATAGTTAATGATGACTAATGCTGTCGAGTAATCGTAGTGTTACATTCACTGGTTTGAAACAGAATATCACAATAAAATATACATAAGGAAATGGTCGTGTTAACACGATATGACATTAATATCTTATGTTGCACAATAACACAGAATGTTATGCACGTACACATCTGCATACTTCTTACTGAATGCGATGCATCAGTATATTGATATAGAATTTTATTTTATCTTGCAGATATTCATATATTGATAATCGATCTTTTTTTTAACCAAAACTTATCCTTGTACCTTAAATTTAAATTTCGTTAGAAGCATCCTAAAATGACAAGCATTAGTGTTTTATACACAACTAGTATGCTTAGTTTAGAATACTATAATGGAATATTTTATTATAATCGATCAAAAATAGTCTGAGTTCTATAGATTTATGAAAACCTTTCATAAACTGATATACTTCCCATTCGAGGCCTCTGATCGTCTGTAGAAATAAAGCATGTAATAGACTATGTTACAAGGGAGGGTAAAAAAGTGAAGTTAGATGGAGTTGTTATATAGATTAGAGGGAAAAAACGGCCATATCTCTCTTTTACACAGGCAATATAATATGTTGAAATACAACATCATCACTAGGTTGAACACTGACAGCCAATAAGTAGCACTAAAATCAGTACGCTAATCACTTACAAAAATTAGAGAGGTTTTGAAAAGGACGGGGGCGATTACTTGTTGAAATCGGTCCCTGGTTGAATTCCATCGACACATACATGGTTAGATGCAGAATGAACAGGAGAACATTTCTAGCCACTTGGCAGGCCTTAGAAATGCTCTCAGAAAAAACTAGGTCCAATTTACTGAAACCAAGGTTCTACTCTTCTTTCTTCAACGATGAGGCTTCCCTGCTCCACACTTGTCCACTAGCCACGACGACACATACACCATTCGATAGAGAATTTCTCGTACTACAAATTCATATATATATGATAGTGAAAAAAGTGTCCTGGGTCCCCTTGACATTAGAAATACCGTGTAGAAAGCCGTGAAAAGTGGGTGATTTATTCGACGGTGAGGATTCTGTGCTCCACACTTGTCCACTAGCCACGGCGATACATATACCATTCGATAGAGAATTTCGTGCGCTACAATTTCATATATACAAAATAGTGAAAAAAGTGTCCGAGGGTACCTTGACATTAGAAATACTTTATGCAAAGACGTAGCAAGTGGGTGATTTATTAAACGGTGACCATCCTGTGCTCCACACTTGTCCACTAGCCACGACGATACATATACCATTCGATAGAGAATTGCTCGTACTACAAATTCATATATATATGATAGTGAAAAAAGTGTCCTGGGACCCCTTGACATTATAAATACTGTCTGGAAAGCCGTGAAAAGTGGGTGATTTATTCCACGATGAGGATCCTGTGATCAACATTTCTCAACTAGCCACTACGATATATATACCATTCAATAGAGAATTTCAGGAACTTCAAAATGAGCGATAAATAAATCTTTCAGAAATATATCCACATGGGTCAATAGTTGAAATACTTGTCCGATATAATGATTTTGACCTATCTTAGGGCTTTCAACACTCCGTTGGTCGTTTTTCTGCCATAATGAAAATTATGTATTGTTCGAAAACATATCATTGGGTAGCCCTTGAAATTCTCTACAAAGTGAGCTGGTCACAATATCCAGACAGGTGGGGCCTGTCATTAAAGATATTGAAAAGAAACTTTTGGTTGTTATCTAAGCAGTACCCTGTGTCATAATCACAAGAACTCCCTTGTTTTTGACCTTTTAGTGAAAGCTGGAACCAATCTGAATAATGTTTTGAATAGCCCGAAGATTTTTCTATCAGATTAGGTGCATGTCGGCCTTTCATGAGAAAAGTTGATAATAGAGCTTCTGGAAAACCTGACTGCTTAAAAACCCAGTCATTAGTTTTTAGCGAGAAAATTTTGCAAACAATATAGCCTGATAGGGCGAAAAATTCTAAGCAAAATAAGACTTCTTCCGGCACTCTATAGCGCCCTTTCAGCGAAATATTTTGGCAACTTTGACGTATCTTGTGGCTAGTGGTGAATCGACTGCAGTTGCGTGAAAAAGCGCTATAGAATGCAGGAAGAGGTCTTATTTTGCTTAGAATTTTTCGCCCTATCAGGCTATATTGTTTGCAAAATTTTCTCGCTAAAAACTAATGACTTGGTTTTTA